AACAACAACAACAACAAATATATATATATATATATATATATTTGTTTAATGTAAAGCCAGTCCCACCATTTCTAGTTTAAAAACTAATAAGTAGATAAGGCTGTTCTCTAGAGTGTCTCTGTGGATACCCTAAAAGGCACCAGGATGGATTATGATTTCTGATGATTTCCTGTATAAGGTCTCTGCAATTTTGCAGCAATCATAGTTAGAAAAAGGAATGGGGAAGAAGTTCTGAATATACAGCACTGTTATTGCACTGGCTGGACAATCTATACAGGAAATCAGAAAAGAATCAAGACATGGGGTAAAGAACAAATTGTAGAGTAGGTGGTGCTAGGAAAACTGTCTTACTATATGGAGAAAAATAAAAGTGAGTCTTTCAACCTAACAAATACAAAAGATTAAATACCTAAATGTGAAAGCTAAAATTACAAAATTAATAGAAAAAATACAGGAGAATACCATGGAAACCTAAAGGAAAGAAAAGACTTAATAAAGAAAAAATGCAAAAATGCAAATCGTATGTCAAACGAGAGATTGATTAATTATGCCAAAATTAAGAATTTCTGTCCAACAAAGGAAAAGATATTTTACAAAGTCTAAAACTAACAAAAGATTAATATCTACCAAAAGAAAATTAAATCCTCTTTGGAGGAAGGTAATGTTAACCAGAGCCTCTACAATTATTCACATGCAATGTCTCGAATTGAATCAAAATTATCAGAAATGCAAAGAAACAGGATGAAATTATCAAAACCCAAAAGAAAAAAGACAATATCAATAGACCTATAGGTGATCCAGATATGGACGTTACCAGACAGCAACTTTAAAATGACTATGAATAATGTGCTCAAGAAAATAAAAGATGAAGAATCTCACAAAAGACTGATATCTACTTTTTACAAAGAAACAGAAATTATAAAACTGAAAAATAACTGAAAGTAATATATTATTATATATATTTAATAGCACGGCAAAAGAGAAAAAACATGAACCAGAAGATAGAGCAAGAGAAAATATCTAGATTAAAGTACAGAGAGAGAAAAAGATGGAAAACATAGGAAAGAATATTTTTTTAAACCCTATAGAACAGTGAAAATATGTAGTAATATATGTATAACTGGAGTACCAGGAGAGAAAAGAAGGGATGGGATAAAAGCAATATTTGAAAAGACAATAGACAATAATTTTCAAAACTGATGAAAGGTATCAACCCCAAACTGAGGAAGCTCTACACATACTAACGGAAATGTCAAAGAAAACCACCTCTAGGCACATCACAGTAACACTGTTGAAAATTAAAGAATGAGAAGAAGCAAAAAAAAAAAATTAAAAAGCAGTCAGAGGTTAAAAAAAAGACACATTACCTTCAAAAGAGTAGTAATAAAAAATGTCAACTTATTTATCAATAGAGATAATGAAAGACTAAGGTAAGATAATGGAATTAAATACTTAAAGTGCTGAAAAGAAAATAAGCCACCAATCTAGAATTCTATACCCACTGAAAATATCCTTCAAAAATAAAGGCAAAATAAAGACATTACCAAACAAAAACTGAAAAAAAAAATTTATTGTAATATACCTGCTAAAGAAATACTAAAGAAAGTTCTTCAAGCAAAAGGAAAATGTAAATGCAATAATTATTCCAACTAAAACAAAAAATTATCAGACTGGATTTTTAAAAATCCACATATATGCTGGTTATGAGAGATAAGCTTTAAATATATACTAGACCATAAAGAAATCTCAACAAATATCAAAGGATTGAAATCATACAGAATATATTATGACTAAAGTGGAAATAAGCTAGTAATCAAAAACAAACAGATAACCAGAAGAATAGCCCAAATGCTGTGAATTAGTCAATACATGTCTAAATAGCCCACAGGTCAAAAGAATAAATCACAATGGGAATTAGAAAACATTTAAGCTAAATTATATGATTATATAATTTATTAACTTCTGGGATACAAAGCATTACTTAGAGGGAAATTTGTAGCCTTAAAAGATATTACAAAAGAAGAAAGCTGAGGTGGGTAGAAGGTGGGAGAAATGGGTAAACTGGTTTTGTTTTCTTTTGCTTTGTTTTAATTTAAATAAATTATAATAATTATTTTTTAAAAGGGTGAAGGATCCTGGTAAACCGCACAGACTTTTGGTTGACACCTTTAAATGTAAAGCTACAGAATGGATGAAAATAAAAAGATGGAAAAAAAGATATACCATGAAAACACTAATCAAAGGAAAGCTGAAGTAGCTATACCTAAATAGACATTAAGGCAATAAGCATTATTAGAGATGAAGAGAGATCTCATAATGATAGAAAAGTCTATCCAACAGGAAGCTATAAGAATTCTATGTGTATATGCATCAAATAACATAGTCACAAAATGTATAAGCAAAGTAGGCCCAGCTTATCTATGGTCACAAAGGGAGTTAATACACTGTATCTGTTTAGCTTGCCTTGCACTACCAGTGCCTAAGTGCCTGGCACATATTAGGCGCACAGTAAATGACTTAAAAAGCCAGTATTACAAACCAGGATGCCTAATACTTCTTATACCCACCCCTGCAGAAATTCTCCAAGCAAATTACTAGTGTTTAAAACATACACATCACACACAAACAAAAACACAATTACCTAACTAGTACAGGATGGTGCTTACAGGCATGATGGGCTTTGGACTCAGAAACACCTAGGTTCGTATCCCAGCTCCTTCACTTCCTGGCTAGGAAACCTTGGGAGTGATAACCTCTATGAGTCTGTATTCCCTCATCCGTAAATTGAGGAATAATAATACCTCCTTGCAGGTTTTTCCAAGTATGAAATAGAATAATATATGAAAAGTGCCTAGTATAGTATCAGGCACTAAGTAAACTCTCAATTAATGGTAGTACTCAATATTAATAATTATATGTAAGAAATATTGAAAATAGTCCTGAAATAGCAGTCATGAAGCCCCTAAAAATTAGAATCAGAAATGCCCAAAGGGCTTCCCTGGTGGCACAGTGGCTGAGAGTCCACCTGCCGATGCAGGGGACACAGGTTCGTGCCCTGGTCTGGGAAGATCCCACATGCCACGAAGCGGCTAGGCCCGTGAGCCATGGCTGCTGAGCCTGCGCATCCGGAACCAGTGCTCTGCAACGGGAGAGGCCACAACAGTGAGAGGCCCACGTACCGCAAAAAAAAAAAAAAAAGAAAGAAAGAAATGCCCAAAGAAGAAGAGGAGGAAGAATAAGAGGAAGAGGAAAGAGAAGAAGAACAAGAAGGAGGAGGAGGCGGCTGAGAATCAATAATTTAAGACAAAATAGAAATAAATAATAAAATAAAACAGAAAATAATAGCAAATTAAACTCAAAGAAAGCAGAATGAAAGGAAGAATAAAAGTAAGAGTGGGAATCAATTAATTAGAAAACAAACCTACAAAGCCAAAAGTTAGCTCTTTGAAAAAAGCATATAATTCATAGAACACAAATTACCAGTATCGGGAATGGAAACAGAGACATCCCTGCAGATCTTACGGACTTTAAAGGGACAATAAGAGGATATTCACAATTCACAAGGACACATGTACCCCAATGTCCATTGCAGCACTATTTACAATAGCCAGGACATGGAAACAACCTAAATGCCCAAAGACAGATGAATGGATAAAGAAGATGTGGCACATATAAACAATGGAATATTAGCCATAAAAAGGAATGAAATTGGGTCATTTGTAGAGATGTGGATGGACCTAGAGTCTGTCATACAGACTGAAGTAAGTCAGAAAGAGAAAAACAAATATCATATATTAACACATATATGTGGCATCTAGAAAAATGGTACAGATGAACCTATCTGCAGGGCAGGAACAGAGACGTAGACATAGAGAACGGACATTTGGACACAGGGTGGGAAGGAGAGGGTGGGACGAATTAGGAGATTAGTGTTGACATATATACACTACCATGCGTAAAATAGCTAGTGGGAACCTGCTATATAGCACAGGGAGCTCAGCTCGGTGCTCTGTGACAACATGGATGGGTGGGATGGGGGGGGAGTGTAAGGGAGGTCCAAGAGCGAGGGGAGATAGGTATACGTATAGTTGATTCACTTCATTGTATAGCAGAAACTAACACATTGCAAAGCAATTTTATTCCAATAAAAAAAAAATTGTGAAAAAAAAAAAAAAAAATTGTGTATAATTACACAATTTTATATCAGTAAAGTTAAAATATAAATTAAGTGGTTACATTCCTTGGAAAAATACAACTTGCCAAAACTGACACAAGAAGAAATAGAAAATTTCAATTAAAAAAATTTTTTAATTGAATCCACAATTTAAAACCTTTTAACTCAATGCTCAGAAGCCTTCTCCAGAAAATTCTCCCAAATATTTAAGGAAGAAATAACACCAATCTCACACTAACTCTTCAAGACCATAAAGAAACAGAGGGACCACTTCTAGCATATCCTGGACACCAAAATCTCACAAGGCTGCTGTTACAAGAAAGGAAATTTGCCAGCCAACCTCCCTCATGAATTTATATACAAAACCCTACACAAAATATTAGTAAGTCAAATCAAACAATATATACAAAGATAATGCGTCAGAGCCAAGGGTGGTTCATTCCAGAAATGTAAGGTTGGTTTAACATTCAAAAACCAATCAGTGTAGGGATCACCAAGGTCTATTGTGAAAGAATAAAAGCGAAGGGCTTAGGATAGGGTTAAAAGAAATTGCCCCAGAGGAGCCTTGTGGGAACTGATTCATCACCATACCTCTGGCTTCGACGCATCTCTTGTACCATATCAGGCTGACCCTTGAGAAGAAGTAAGAAGGGCCAAAGAAACACCCCTCGCAAAGCCTCCTGGTGTGTGCACTCTGGGCTGCTTTCTCCCCGGTGGAGTGACCATCATCACCTCCCCTACTTCACAGCCTCGCTCGGAGAGCCCAAGGAGCCACTCGGGACTGGACGGTTCTCCGAAAACCATCACCTGGGCACAGCACACTCACCTGAGGGCCGGGGGCTGGCTCCCCTGCCGTTTGAACACTCTTTCCAGCCTCTCCTGGGTCGTCGAGGCATTCCCACTGGACAAGGAGAAATTCAAGGCGGTCCTGTCGGCCTCTAGGCCACTGTCCACGGCTGGGCTGTCCTCTGAAAGGTCTCTCCACCGGCCGCTCCCGCTCTGGGGAAGCCCTTTGCCTGGCAGGGGAGGAGGGCTGCTGGGCGAGGCTCTCCACTTTTCCAAGGTCAGGGGGCTGAGCAGGCCCAGGGTGCTCCTGGGGGTGGAGGAGGTGCTGGAAGCCGGGCCCTCCTGCGGGACAGGCGGGGGACAGGCTGGGGTGTGAGCAGACAGCTCGGGCGCTTGTAGGCTCCCCTCCTCGTGGGGTTGGGTCGTGCTGCTCAAGGCCGGGGACTGCCTCAGCGAGCGTCTGCGGAGGGAATCCTGAAAAGAGCAAGGACAAAAGCAGCGGTGAGGATCCCCTTGGAGGGAGGTGAGAAAATATCCCACGTCAAGCATTTACCCATGATCTTCCCTCCCCCAGGAAAGTCTTTCCCATCCTCAACTCCTTCTCCTAAAATCCAACCCACCCTTTGAGGAGACACGCAGGGGCTACCACTTCTGTAATGCTTTCACAGAACCCCACCCACATAAATCCCAGGAGCATGCCTTGGTCCCCCCCTCATACCCCTTACAGAGAGCTCCAGGGTCAGACCTGTGTTCCCATGTCACCCCCTGCCAGCCGTGTGCTCTGTGACAAGTCATTGAACTTCTTTGTCCCTCACTGCCCCACCTGCAATATAACCTGTCCACAACCTGCTATCAATAATTCCTAAATCCCAAAACCCCTAAAAAATGACCATTTCTTTTGGAATCCCATGGCAAATTCTTTTTCATTCTTATGAGGTAGGTTGCTTGCATTCTTGGTTTTTTTTGTTGGGTTTTTTGGCCATGTGGCTTGCGGGATCTTAGTTCCCAGACCAGGGATTGAACCTGGGCCCTCGGCAGTGAAAGCACAGAGTCCTAACCATTGGACCGCCAGGGAATTCCATCGCGGTCCCTTTTTAAGTGTGAATACTCATATGTTTTGCTGCAGAAATGTTTTATTTATGGGGTGCTACTCCAAACCCTACTGCAGGCGTTCTGTGGTATGTGGTTTATGCATTGTATTTCCCTTCTGAAGTTTAAAAACAAAATCTACATTCCAAAACACATTTGCTCAAAGGTTTTGGATGAGGGATTGGGGACCTACAGTGCCGATCTCCCACAAGACCATGGTGAGGACCAAAGGAGAGACCCAGACCCACGTAAGGCACCATCACAGAGCCAAACCCTGCACAGCAGCCAGCAAATATTCCTTACTGCTATGCATCTTTGCCCCTGTCCCCACTTACATATGGCCTTAACCCTTCCTGCCAGTAGACCAGGTGATGGAGGCCATTCTTCCTTCAACTCTGGTGTCCCCAGAGCTCCCAGCCCAGTGACCTATACATAGTAAGCAATGCTTACTTTTTGAAATGAAGGAATTTCAGAGGCGTCAACAGAAATGTCCTCTCTCACTATCAATCATTAACCAATGAAATGAGAACTCACGTTGTTACCAATCTGAGGTAGAGGAGTAGGGGTAGGGGACAAAAATACACCTGCTGGGCTCTTCCTGGGTTTAAAATTCTGGACCTCTCAGCATTTCCAGAACTAATCCTGGGCCAAATGGTAAAGCCTGTGCCAGAAAAAGAACAGCTAATTCTGCCATATTCCCTCCTGGTGGAAATTACTAGGCACTATAAACCTCCTCCGAAAGCCACCCAGGGCATCCCTTGCCACAGAACAAGGAAAACATTAGTCAACATTCCCAAGGAGACCCAAACTTCCGGCCAAGGGCAGGGAACCCAGCCTCTTCCTCATTCTTCAAAAGCTCAGAGCTGATCTATATGCCATACCTAATGATGCACTACCTAGCAACCTTGCTCTTTTCTCTTGAGCAACCAATAAGCATGGCCAAGGTACTCAAAGGCCCACAGAACACCTTCCAGAATACCTGGGGAAATTCTACCTCTGTGTCCTTCACGGGATTCAGATACTCCAGGGGAAAAGAACACCTCCAAGAACAATCACTTCTCCTTTGGGGAGAAGTTTGCAGCAATCTCTCAGCAGTAAAGCAGGTAGGTACAAGCCATCTTCCTTACACCTCAGTTATGAAGGGGTCTGAACCACACAGACTTGATGATTAGAAAGTCATGATAGGACAGGACCCTAGTGTTCATCTGGTCCACCCGTTCCCAAAGTGCAGTCCACCGACCTTACAGGTCTAACCCCAAACCCTTTCAGGGAGCTCAAAATTATTTTCATAATAATAATACAACATGATTTGCCTTTTTCACTGTGTCCACATTTGTACTGACGGTGCAAAGCACTGGTGGGAAAAACTGTTGGCTGGCCCTTAGCACGAATCAAGGCAGCAGCACCAATCTTCACCAGGACTCAAGGTATTAACACCACTTGCAATAAAAGTAAATAAGTGAAATGCTAATTTCACTTAAGAATGTCCATGCCGAAGCATAACGAATATTAATTGTGTTCAACCTTGACCCTATGTTATACATCTCTTTAACAGTCTGTGTGACAAAATGGGAGGTATATATAAACATTCTGCGGGATGCAGAGGATGAGGCTGTCACCAGGAGAAGCACTTATGCAGCCATCTGAATTGTGAGCTAAACTTGCTGGTTTTTTCATGGAACAACTGACAGATGAACTATGGTTATTCAGTATATGAATACTGAGTACTGAGTATCTGGCAGGCATTTTCTTGAAAATAAATTGAGCCTGTCACATCAAGGAACATAAATGATACACCGTTGCCAGAGATAAAATACAAGTCATCAGGTAAAAATTAGAATCTGGGGAAACTTGTGTTTGCCATTATGAACTGGAGGGCTTCTCAAAAACTTTCTGATAAGTTGAGTAGTGACATCAACAAATGCAATTGTTTATGTGTGGTTTTTTTTGTATATTGAAATGTGTCAACGTTCAGAAGATCTATATAACTTAGTAAACCAATGATTTCCACATGACCCAATGCATCATGTTACTAAACCATGCAGTGGTAAAAGAGTCATTCAAAGTTCAAGACAAACCAGTGGAAACTGATATGTAGAAAAAGTTCATTGGGATGGTTTCAGGTTCCACATTAAGAAACAACTTGTCTAAACCCTCAGAACGGGAGAAAATATTTGCAAACGAATCAACGGACAAAGGATTAATCTCCAAAATATATAAACAGCTCAAGCAGCTCAATGTTAAAAAAACAAACAACCCAATCCAAAAATGGGCAGAAGACCTAAATAGACATTTCTCCAAAGAAGACACAGAGATGGCCAAGAGTCACATGAAAAGCCACTCAACCTCACTAATTATTAGAGAAATGCAAATCAGAACTACAATGAGGTATCACCTCACACCAGTTAGCATGGGCATCATCAGAAAATCTACAAACAACAAATGCTGGAGAGGGTGTGGAGAAAAGGGAACCAACCCTCTTGCACTGTTGGTGGGAATGTAAATTGATACAGCCACTATGGAGAACAGTATGGAGGTTCCTTAAAAAACTAAAAATAGAGCTACCATATGACCCAGCAATCCCACTACTGGGCATATACCCAGAGAAAACCATAATTCAAAAAGACACACGCACCCCAAGGTTCACTGCAGCACTATTTACAATAGCCAGGTCATGGAAGCAACCTAAATGCCCATCAACAGACGAATGGATAAAGAAGATGTGATACATATATACAGTGGAATATTACTCAGCCATAAAAAGGAACGAAATTGGGTCATTTGTAGAGAGGTAGATGGACCTAGAGAGTGTCATACAGAGTGAAGGAAGTCAGAAAGAGAAAAACAAATATCGTATATTAACGCATATATGTGGAACCTAGAAAAATGGTACAGATGAACCGGTTTGCAGGGCAGAAATAGAGACACAGATGTAGAGAACAAACATATGGACACCAAGGGGGAAAAGTAGCGGGGGGGTGGGGGGGGGTGGGATGTATTGGGAGATTGGGATTGACATATATACACTAATATGTATAAAATAGATAACTAATAAGAACCTGCTGTATAAAAAAATTTTTTAAAAAAGAAAAAGAAAACCAGATATCTCAAGTTAAGGAATTTAGTACTTTTCTATATATGAGAAGATGCAAAAGTCAGGGCTCACTGAAATCATTCCTTTGATGCGCACCTCAGCTCTCTGGGGTCAGCATCCTGTGCTTTCACATCCTGAGTCTCCTCAGGGTGCACTATGCGGGGGCTGGTGGCGGCTGCAGTGTCTGATGGTCGGCATCCTATTTCTACCCCGAGTTCCCTCAGGGCTCACCATCAGGCCACTGCAGTGTGATGGCTTGATGGCCGCCGCATCCTTTGTTTACTGAAATGGCAGGCAACATTTTCTTCCATTGATAAGGTGTGTATTCAAGGAATGGTTTAAGTGAACTCAGACTCTGCATCTTCCTGTACAAAGAAAAGTGCTAACTTCATTAACTTGAGATGTCTGTTTTTCTCTTTTTTTTCCTTTCTTTCTTTTTTTTTCGCCACGCCACACAGCATGTGGGATCTTAGTTCCCCAACCACGGATCGAACCCACACCCCCTGCAGTGGAAGCCTGGACTCTTGACCACTGGACCACGAGGGAAGTCCCTGTTTTTCTTTAATTAACAGTAATCTTTTGATGTTCCTATTAGCTGGTTTCTTGCAAAAACTCCTGTATATCCTGGCTCCTCCCTTACCTCTTCTGAGCAGTCCCTCAGTGTTATCTGAGAGGCTGTCTTCCAGGCTTAAGTCCTCAGCAAGTCCGTCAAATAAAACGTAATTCTCAACTTATAGGTTGTGCATGTTTTTAATCAACAGAACAATGACAGATAACTATACTTGATCTAGACCCAAAGCAGGTTGTTTTTGAGCGAACAGCCAGCCTTGTGAACTGGATTAAAAAAAAAGAAACAACTTGTCTAGGTTCGGTGTAATATTAAAAAATACCCCTAGTTTTCTGAAAAGACTATTAAAATACTTTTCCCTTTCCCAACTGCATGACCATCACTGAGCCATGAAATTCCAGATCTCGAAGGGATCTTAGACACCTGGTCTAACAAACGAGACTATGGCCAAGAGGAACAAAGACCTTGTCCGGAAATCTCACAGGACGTGGGCTGAGGCAGGGAGAAGGTCCACTGCTTGCTGCCCTGATTGCAGATGAACTGGGAGAGCAGTGCTGCCATCTGCAGCCACACCCACACGTGAGGGTGGAGGTGACCAGCGTGGACACAGATGACCTATTTTTGGTTGGCTTAGGCTCCCTGATTTGACTGATACTCTACTTTGAGTTCGGCATTTGACCTTCCTTTGTTTTTCTGTTTCTCTTCTGTTTTACAAACCCCTTTTACATTCATTCTCTCCTTTGGTTTAGTCTCCCACCTGATGGGACCCTACCACGGCCCCTCCTTAAGGGAGACTATAAAACATCAGTGTTAAGTTTTTAGAATTTTTTTAAAACAAAACAAAACTATAAGGATTGGGATTTCTTCTTCCCTTTTCACTATCATGTGTTAAAAAATTTTTAAAAAATATGTCCTCTAGACCGGGATGGGTCCCCCCATGCCTGAATAGCAAAGATAAAGCTGGGTAGATGTGTTCTCACCCTGCAAAAGAATCCACCTGGTAACTACCTGGTTGACCAGATAGTTAAACGGAAGGCAGGGGAGGTGATGAGGCCTACCCGTGGCCCCAGAGCGCTGACAGCAGAGCCAGGCAGGAAAAAGAGGCCAGTGTTCTAGCCATCTACCATGCAGATCCTCCCTTCTTGAGCTGTCTCGTGGGGTACCCCCAGATAAACCCAGGCAGCCCCTTAAGCCCTGCCCAGTCCTCACTTTCCATGCTCATAATAATAGTAAGAGCACCAAGCCCACCTGTGGGGAGCTGGCGATGGGCCCGGCCATCATGCCTCGGACAATGAGGCCAGACTTCGGCCTGATCTTCTCTCCCATCCTCTTCGTGTCCAAGGAAGGCTCTGATGACTGAAGCTTGTCCGTCTTCTCCCAAGCAGGAGCCTCAGGAGGGCTTTCACCTGGGACAGTCTGCAAGGGCTTACTTTTGTGGGAGGCCCTTTTGGATGATGCAAAATTACCAAGTACATCCCCGTTAAGATGGTCGTGTCTGCGAAAAAGGGATATTTCCATTAAAACAGCTTCCCCAAAAGGAATCACTGGCAATGATGATAAATTCCACATTCCACAGGTACCCATAGCAAGCCCATTCACAAATCTGTGATTTCTAACCAGACTGTGCTTTATCAATAAAGGCAAGGGAAAGAAAATACTTCTGTATCAGGGCAAGTCTGGCCAACAAAGTGAGACCTGAAACAAGAAACCAAATCACAGTCGATGACCGATGATAGGATCCCTTGAATCCTCAGTATGAAGAGCATCCCTGTTTCTCCCAGACCCCAGTGATTAAGGAAAACTGTAGCCCTTCAATACAACAGTTCCCCCCTCCCGTCATGGTATATATAGGGTTTGGTACTATCCACGGTTCCAGGCATCCACTGGGGATCCTGGAATGTATCCCCCATGGATAAGGGGGGACGATGGTATAGTCCTAAGAGGGGTGGAGCCCAGTTACTGCACACCACTGAGGGTGGTGAATAGAGACCTTTGGAAAACCTGGCGTTCCCAGTTAAGGTTTAGTAAAGTTAGGCATGCCAACGGCTTCTTTTCTTGGGTTGCTTGGCGTTGAAGAAAGAGGGTGTGTGTGTGTGTTTGTGTGTGTGTGTGTGTAAGAGAGGGAGAGAGAACAAAAGAGGGTAAGAGACTGACAGCAAAAGCAAGGAGTGAGGAAGAACAAGAATGAGAAAGAGGGCTTCCCTGGTGGCGCAGTGGTTGAGAGTCCGCCTGCCGATGCAGGGGACACGGGTTCGCGCCCCGGTCCAGGAAGATCCCACATGCCGTGGAGCCATGGCCGTGGAGCCTACGCGTCCGGAGCCTGCACGTCCGGAGCCTGTGCTCCACAACGGGAGAGGCCACGACAGTGAGAGGCCCGCGTACCGCAAAAAAAAAAAAAAAGAGAGAAACAGACAGAGCAAGAGACCCAGGTAAAGAGGAATCCCACCTGTGGTCACTGAGAGCCCAGCACCCCTCCGACACAGGCTGGGCTATGCTCTACTATCAGACTCTGGCATAAAGAGGCGTCAACATCAACTCTGTGCCAAGCTGCTTACCAAGCACTGGGTCATGCATGACAGAAGTGGTCATGTGCGCTATGACTGGGACATGCCAAGCAGAGGAAGGATCCGGAACCAACCCTCGGGAAATCTAGAAAGGCTTCCAGAGAAGGCAGAACCTGAGTCTGAAAGAATGAGTAGGCAGGAGGTAACCAGAAGGCCCCAGGCACTAGCACAGAGTCCTGTAAAAGCAGGACATGCTCAGGTGAGCTGGCAGGGGGGTGGGGGGGTGCGGTGGGACACCTGCTGATGTGGAAAAGGCTTTGCAAATTCTCCTAAGAAGTTTGGACTTTATCCTAAAAGTTACAGGGAGCATCTGAAGGCCTTTCAGCAGGGAAGAGCATGGCCAGACTTGTTTTGTGGAAATCTCACTCTATCTTAGGTCAAGGGTGGATTTGAGAAGATGACCGGGGGCCTGGAGATGAGAGAAAGAGACCCTGGGAGATAGCCAGGGGAAGAGGTGAGAGTGTGAATGGAGGCCGCTGTTGCGAGATAGAGAAACGGGGGAAAGAGTCTAGCATCATTAAGGACACAAAGGGATGCAAAAATGATAGACAAGGAGGAGTCAAGGATAACACCCAGGTTTGTAGCTTGGGTAACTGGGTGGAACTCTGAAGCTTCAACCTCTGCATTGCTGGCTTTTTATCGGTTCAAAAGTATTTCATTTCCCAGCCAGGCAGTAAGTGTATTTGAAGGAGGAATCATCTTTTTCATACCACCCTCATTTCCTTTCACATCTTAAGCCTTGAGTTAATTTTTTGGTGGTCCCCATCTTTTAGCAGCTTGACACCCAGACCTGAAGCTTTGGCTACCCTCAGGAAAGGAAATGTTTTTCAACAGAGCTGGAAGAAAACACCCTTTCCCAGGAAGTTAGACTCACTATTGGTGATGACATGCAGTGTGTTAAGGTTGTAACTTAACATAACTGCTCTCCAGTGCTGATCGTTTTGTAATGTATAAAATATCGAATCACTATGCTGTGTAACAGGAATTAACATAGTGCCGTAGGTCACTTATACTTCAAAAACAAACAAACAAACAAAATAGAAAAAGAGCTCAGACTTGTGGTTATAAGAAGCAGGGGGTAGGTGGAGGGGGAATTGGATGAAGGTGGTCAAAGGTGTAAACTTCCGCTTATAAGATAAATAAGCACTAGGGATGTAATGTACCACATGATCAATACAATGAACATTGCTGTATGTTATATATGAGAGCTGCTAAGAGAGTAAATCCTGGGGCTTCCCTGGTGGCGCAGTGGTTGAGAGTCCGCCTGCCGAGGCAGGGGACACGGGTTCGTGCCCTGGTCCGGGAAGATCCCACATGCTGCGGAGCGGCTGGGCCCATGAGCCGTGGCCGCTGAGCCTGCGCGTCCGGAACCTGTGCTCCGCAACAGGAGAGGCCACAGCAGTGAGAGGCCCGCGTACCGCAAAAAAAAAAAAAAAAGGGGGGGGGGGAGAGGAAATCCTAAGGGTTCTCATCACAAGGGAAAATACTTTTTTCTTTTCCTTTTCTTTTGTATCTATATGAGATGATAGATGTTCACTAAACTTACTGTAGTTATCATTTCATGGCATATATAAATCAAATCATTCTGTTCTACAACTTAAACTTATACAGTGCTGTATGTCAATTCTATTCCAATAAAACTGGAAGAAAAAAAATAACTGTTTTCCAAATAATAGAGGTACAATCAAGAATGCCAGTTCATTTTCTTCCCGAGTTCCAAAAGGGCTTATTTTCCAGATTTCTCCATCGCTCCAGTGTTTAGTGGCCTTTTAGAATTCTCTACTCCTGTTTTTAAGAAAATGCTAACAAAGGAAGCCCCCGAACCTTATGAATCATGGAATTTAAATTAAACATTTTGAATCATAAGTATCCTCCATCACAAAGTGGTCCATTCCCATGGCTTCCAGAGGAAAAGAACAGTGCTCCATGACAGGGATTCTGAAAATGCAGAGGATGGGAGGCTGAGTGATGGCCTCCTGAAGATGTTCACAACCTAGTCCCTGGAACCTGTGAATATGTTACTTTACATGGCAAAAGAAAGGGACTTTGCACACGTGATTACGTTAAGAATCTTGAGATGGGTACATTATCCTAGATTGACTGTGTGGGCCCAATGCAATCACAGGGGTCCTTATTAGAGGGAGACAGGAGGATGAGAGTCAGTAGTAGGAGATGTGACACAGAAGCAGGGGTTGTAGTGATGTGATTTGAAGATGGAGGAAGCAGCCACAAGCCCAGGAATACAGGCAGCCTCTAGAACTTGAAGAATGAAAGGAAACAGGTTCTCCCCTCAAAGCCTCTGGAAAGAACCAGCCCTACTGACACCTTGCCATTAACCCAGTGAGACCAATTTTGGACTTCTGACCTCAGAACTGTAAAATAAATAAATTGGTGTTGCTTTAGGACACCATGATGGTTAGATTTTGTATGTCAGCTTGGCTAGGCTATGGTACCCAGTTGTTTGGTCAAACACTAGTCTAGATGTTGCCGTGAAGATATTTTTTACATTGTGATTAATTAACATATTGTGATTAATATCTACAATCAGTTGACTTTAAGTAAAGGACATCACCCTAGATAATACAGGTGGGCCTCATTCAATCAGTTGAAGATCTTAAGAGCAAAAACAAAGGTTTCCCAAAGAAGTAATTCTGCCTCAAGACTGTAACACAGAAATCCCACCTGAGCTTCCAACATGCCAGTCTGCTCTACAGATCTCAGGCTCGCCAGCCCTACAACCACATGGACCAATTCCTTAAAATAAATCTCTTTATTTAAATATATATTTATGCACATATATATTTATACATATACACATTTATACCCTATTGGTTCCTTTTGGTTTTGTTTCTCTGGAGAACACTATTACAGCCACTGAGTTTACAGTAATTTGTTATAGCAGAAATAAGAAACTAATCCACAGTATAAATGAGAAGAGGTACCTGGCTTTGCTTGTTTCTGACAATGATGTTCTCCAACTCGCATCTTCACTTGCAAGGTCATATATATTTACCAGCGTGGTCTCTGAGCATCTCAATGGTAATTTGTTACTTTTCTTTGGTATTGAGAGTGCAGGGATTGGTGTTTCTTGAGTAAAATTGTTACCAGTATTTCCAAAGTGATCCAGAAAATATCTGGTGATGAGTTCAAGGTTTGTTTTTAGAGGATTTCCCTTTGCCTATCATCAGAAGAAAAAAAATCATTAATTTTATGTACAGCTTTGGGGAAAGGTGGGAAAGACAGCCATCACAATTCTTTGACATAGTTTATCAATTTCTTACTCATCCATACATTCTCTCAGCAAACATTCACTGACTGCTTATTATATGTCAGGTACTGTGTGAGGTAGCAACACAGATGAAGACAAAAATCAGTACCTTAAAAGAACTAGCATCCAATGCATGAGTCAGGAGAGTCAATGAACAACTGTAACAAAATGTGATATGAACAGAGGAATACCCGAGCAAATTTCCTCTTGTTTTTTTCTCCTGGGAATAACTTTATAAAATATATATCCTTTTATTAAAAAAAAAAATGAAGTCTTTATGATCGCTAACGCTACAACTTTATAAACATCTGGGACCTGAATGACTTCTTAGCTTATGTACTCTACATTTAACACTGGGCATAAGGAATTACAGAGACAACGCTGCAGAAAGTTAGCGCAAGAGCATAGAGATGCAGTCAGGATTGACTCAGTTTACACCCCAATCTTTAAAAAAGATAAAATGAAACTTTTTTTAAAATAAATTTATTTATTTATTTATTTTTGGCTACATTGGGTCTTCATTGCTGCGCGCGGACTTTCTCTAGTCGCGGTGAGCGGAGGCTACTCTTTGTTGTGGTGCGCGGGCTTCTCATTGCAATGGCTTTTCTTGTTGCAGAGCACGGGCTCTAGGCACATGGGCTCAGTAGTTGTGGATCGCAGGCTCTAGAGCATAGACTCAGTAGTTGTGGTGCACGGGCTTACTTGCTCCGCAGCACGTGGAATCTTCCCGGACCAGGGCTCGAACCTGTGTCCCCTGCATTAGCAGGCGGATTCTTAACCACTATGTCACCAGCGAAGTCCAAAATGAAACTCTTTAGTAGTAGGTTTTGGAAATAAGTGGTATCAGTATTTCCCTACCCTGACAGCACTAAATATTATCTTTGGAGGTTTTTTTAAGACAGATTCTCAGGCCCCGCTGAGTCTTACTAAGCCAGAATCACCAAGATTAGAACCTTGATTTCTTTTAGAAAGTCTCCTAAGTAATTTGTACAGACACAGTTATCCAAGCAGCAATCCACAGGCTGGCCTCAGGGGCTAGACCATGTGTCAGTCCGCAACCCACCTGCCCAGTAACACCCAGGCCCTTTGGAACTGCGGCCAGGCATGGGGCATGTGGTGAGTTTGCAGTCAGAGTGGTAAAGCGCCTGATAAAGAGCCTGGCACAGAGGGAACCCTCGGGTGTATCCAGTCTTTCCCCCTTTCTATTCCCTTGACCTACACAGCAGAACTCTGGGACCAAGACCCACGGGGTTATGATCAAACTCAACAGAATTATCAGGCAGTCAAAATCAGGGGACAGTTTTATTTTTTTTAGAATGGGACCCAAAAAGCTATTTTGCCTAAGTCTAGATGAAACTTACAAGGAAGAGAGTTGCGGGGCGGTGGGGGGGATGTTAAATAATTATTTCAACCTTCTTGTTCTTCTTTCAATACGAGAGATTTAGGGCCCTGAATACCTGAACTGTACTTTGTGGCCTTTCACATCACTTTGCTCATAATAGATAGAGCCTTTATATGAATCTAGATACCATTTTTCAAAACCTCAATTTTACACAGGCGTTTTATCTACTGCACACTTAATAGGGAAAAACAAGTTACTGGAATTAACATTAAACTGGCAGGGCTTTCCCAGAATCACTCTAGCTTTGTGCTGAGTGAACGTCAAAATTATAATGCCATAGATAGATGAATGAGTATATTTTCCTGTAAAATATAAGCTCCAATTCATTGTATAACAGCTAATAACTACTGTATAAATCAAATTATCAGGGCACCTATCAAGATCTAATGAAAATATCTTAAGTATCTTAGATAATAGTTACCTTAGGGAGACTACACCACAGTGAAGAAATAAAAGTAACTTGAATGGCAAAGATCCTTCTGGGAAATTAGGTAAAGATGTATTTATATAAAAATTCCACTGTGCAGCAATGGTTAATTGAATTTTCTGCATAGCTGTCTCACTCTCTGTGGAAAATCTTTCTAAAATGTACAGTCTACTCTCCTGCCTGCAAAGACAGCTAGAGGAGGATTGCTGAGTGTCTGCTGCCTGGGGCAACAGTCTTCTGTCTACAGGAGATGGAGGGGCCCGAGTGTCACCGCAGGACCCAGAGGATGAAGGTCTTTACCGGGCCTTTGGTAGGACTTCACCTGGCTGCCACTTGTGATAAATGCTGAACGACACGATCACGAAGTTCTTTCTACCTCTGACACTATGCCCTCCCACAAGGCATCTGCTGGAGAGCCCACTCTTGAATCAAATTATAACGTTCTCTCTTCTTACAGAAAGAGCAATTAATTCAGAACGGTAGCTTCATTCCTTCGTTCCTGTATATTCATTCACTCACTCATTCATTCATAAATACACACTATTTACTAGGTCATCAGTCCCATGTCAAGTATGGGGATACAACGCATCCTGCAGCGTCCAAGGTAGTGCGGAAGGCAGATTGTAATTAAACCACCACACAAATATTCTATTATAAACATAAAAAGCACAACGAAGGAAAAATAAGGGGTACCCTGAAGGCCTGTAACAGAAAGTGGGGGCATCGAGGCTGGGGGATCAGGGAAGCACCCCGAGGTGCCTGTTCCATTTGCTACCTCAACTCCAACGCACCCGGGTTAGCTGAACCCAAACCCTGCACCTGCCTGAATTAAACGTCACAGTGACCTTAAGAAAAAGGTGTTACTCAGAACTGCAGAAGGAAAACCATATGCAGGCAGAAAACGGAAATTTTTAGCATAACTGAATGCTATATTTTTAAGTACAGTCTTACTAAAAATAGCCTCATGGCAGGGAGGAGGGAGCACCGGGAATAACTGTTGCAGGCTCGGGTTCAAAATGCGCCCCAGAGCTGCGCACGCGCGGCGCGGTAGGCCAGTTGGGTGCTGCCGACTCAGGCTGGAAACCCCACACACACAGTTGGGATTCGTCCGCGCTCAGCCTGGTCTGTTTCTCCCTGACCGCATGTACGGCAAGCCCTCGGCCACTGGTCTCGGATGACCTGGCAGGGCTCATGAGTGCTTTTGACGTCGCCGCATTCCGTTCCAGAACTCCATACCACACGTTGAAAGCACGTACCCTGTTCTCCTTGTAGAGAATTTCAAGATGCAAAACCTTCCGGAGATGGCTTCTGCTGCTTATGCTGAGATCAGAGCGTGGGCGTTCCTGGTCCATGGTCACACACGTCTTCTTTAAGCCCTGAGGGAAGAACTCTGAGTCACTCTTTACCATTTTAAATCAAAACCTTCCCAGCTCTGACGCAGAGGATAAACAAGACTGTTAATGTTCTTTTCGATCATCTTCTCCTGCCTTCCTCTCAGGATACTGGGAGGACCAAAAACTGACTTAAGCATTTATTTTGATATAAACTTTACACTTGATATCATCTTCACAATTATTATTCCGAATCTTACAGCCACCCTGTGGGCTGGGCTCAGGCTGAAGTTGTCAACGCGTTTTATAGAAAAGGAAAGTGAAATCTGGGTAGCAACTGTCTGGCCCGAGGCTGGCTCTGGAGCCCTGGGTTTGGCCTAGATTGGGGGCCACAGGATATGAAGCATTAAAAATAAACAAAAGGAAAAGCATAAACAAAAGGCCAGTATTCATTTCCTTCTTCTTTCAGATGGGGCACCAGGGTCGATTTGTCCAACATAACACAGTGGACTCACAGAGCGGGAGTTCTGACCATCCCAGGCTGCGAGGCGGTGATGCGAGGACCCAGACTCACAGGAAGCACGTGGTAAGCGTCTGCAGTGCCCCAGCGCAGCCGCTTTCCATCATCCGGCCCTGAACTCCCAGAAGGCCGGCCTTGGGAAGCACAAATCCCCCTAAGAGCCTGGCTTCTTCATTTGAAAACGACAGCAGCTGTGGCCTGCCCACCTCCCCAGAACGCAGTGATAACCAAATGGCGGAAGATGAGGAGATGCCTCACACACAGCTCAGCCTGGCATTAAGGGAGCCCTTGCTGCTGATGGATCCAGACCCCAGTGCTAGCCAGGCCTCAGTGGCTCCCCTAGGCTTTGTATTCAGAATTTTACAGAGGCTCTCAGTGCTGGGAAGACAAGACAAAGCCTGCTACCTGCCATGAATTGGGACAAGAAGAATTTGTGAAACAAGACGTACGAACACAACCTTGTGAAACAAGATGTACGAACACAACCTTGAACCAAAAGGAATGAAAAGAAGTCTTGGCGGGGGGGGAACAGAAAGAAATGTTGGGGAAAAGGTGGGGACATGCCTGGGTCCATTAAGGAGAGTCAGCTGGAAGGAGAGGTGGGACTCAAGAGGCACCTGCATTTCATGGGGGCTTAACCACGGCCTTCCCACCCAAGTGATGTGGAAACCTGTATAACGAGGGTCCCTCTCTTCTGGGTAACTCTTGATGTTTGTCAGCAGTTCAGATCAGCAAGTCTTGGCACACTTAACAAATTCCCTGGGGTTGTGGTGCAAACTGGCATTTGAAAACCACTGGAGCAGTGGACAAGGATGCCCTCAGAAATCAGCCAGTCATCGGTCCCATCATTCATTCAACAAACACTTGTCGTGCACCTACTCTGTGCCAGGCTCTGTTCTAGATGCAGGAGATATAGATGGATTATGACCAAGTCCTGCCCTCATGGAACTGACATTCTGTTAGGGAAGCAAACCACAAACAAAGGGGTAAATGTACGGTACACCAGCTGCTAATATGCTCTATTATGAAGACAGAGAGAACAGAGAGAGGGGAGACACTATTTTCGATAGCCAGCTAGTTATTGAGCATCATCCATGTGCTCACTCCTGTCTTCAAGTTTCCCCATCTGTGAAATGAAAGGAACAAACCATTAGTCTACTCGTTCATCTGCTAGAGGCAGAGGAGTGAACAGACCAAAGTCCTGGCCCTCACAGAGCTCACCTACTATCAGGAAAAAGACAACAAATAGAATACCCTATGGGAAAAAAAATACAGCAGAGTCAGGAAGCACAGAGGGCCAGGAGGGGGTGCAGGGGAGGGTTGCTACTTTATAAAAGGTGATCAGGAAAAGCTTCATGATTGACATTAGAGTCGAGACATGAGGGAACTAAGGGAGCAGATTGTGCAGACACTTGTGGGTAGTGTTCTACAAGGGCAAAGGCCCTGTGGCAGCTACAAGGAGGCCAGTACAGCTAGAGCCATGTGACTAGGGAAAAGTGTCCGGAAATGAGGTCAGAGAGGTTGCCCAGAGCTTGCTAAAGAAAGGCCTTGTCGGCTTTTGTAAAATGGAAAGGCTCCTGGAGGATTTGAAAAAAGGAGCATCCTGGACTAACTTATATTTGCAAAGGATCACTTGGCTGCTAGGTTGAGAACAGACTGTATGAGATAGGGGATTACATATTCAGATTAGAAGGCTATTGAACAACTCACATGAAAGATGGAGGTAACCTGGACCAGGGTGGTTGTAGCAGAAGTGGGAATAAGCAGCTACATTCTTTAAGTGCTCTGATGGGAAAGCCTACAGATTTACTGATGGACAGCATGCAGGGGGCACAAAAAGGAAAAAAAGCCAGCAATGGTTCCAAAGGTTTTGGTCCAAGCAACCAGACAGTTAGTGATGCTACTTACTGAAGTGGGAAAAATTGCAGGAGGTGAAGGGATCAGGAATTGAGTTTTGAACGTGTTAAGTTGAGATGTTTATTGGATACCCAAGTGGAAATGTAACATAGGCAGCTGGAAAGAATGTAAGAGTTCAAGGAGAGGTCTTGGATAGAGATAGACATTTGGAAACTGTCAGCATATCGATGGTATTGGAACCCACAACAGTAGTGGAAGTGGCTGGGAAATGAATGGAGAAGAGAAGAGGGCCAGAGACTCAGTCTTTAAGCCCACCAGCATGCACAGCTCAGGAAGCCAGGGGGGACTTGCCAGGAACCTGAGAAGGTATAGAAGGAAAACCAGGAGGGGGTGATCTCCAGAAGCCAAGGGGAATGAGTTGCCAAGAAAGGCATAATCAACTGAGTCACACACAATTGTTAGATCAATAAGTGTAAGGACTGAAAATCAGAAGTCATTGGTGAACTTGACAAGAGTTGTTTCCATGGAGTGATGGGGACAAAAGCCTGATTAAAGTGGGTTTGAGAAAACAGGGAGAAGAATTAGAATCAACATACAGAGCCCTTTCATGGGTTTTGCTATAAAAGAGAAAAAGACTAGTAGCTGGAGGGTCTTGGGGGTCAAGATGGAATTGGTAGGAGCACGTATACATGTTGATAAGACTAACCCAGTAGAGAAAGCAAAATGCATGATACAATACAGAGAGATGATGATAACTGCACCAGTGTCCTGGAACACACAAGAGGGGACAGGCACACAGGGAGGGGTTGGCCTTACCCAGGAAGATGGAGAATTCATTCCTAAGAACAGGAGGCAGGGTGGGGCGAATAGTTCAGGCCCAGGAAGGTTAGTTACTGTGGTGGTAGGGCGTGCTGGAGTTTTCTCAAGGCTGCTTCTATTTTCTCAGTGAAATTAGAGGGGAAGGGGGCTTTGGAACTTGAGGAGATAGATGTGTGAAATGGTCGGCCAAGATTTGAGACAGTGAACGGGCTGGAGAGGTATAAGCAGATGGGCGGGCATCCCTGAGGCATCACAGGGGTGAGTGACCATGAATTTGGCATGAAACCATCAACACGGTGGTGTGTTTTCCCCCAGCCCCATTCAGCTCTGCAGTGCAGGCACAGAGTAGACCAAGCTGAATTTTTAACATCAGAGGAGTATAATGAAGGGAGAGACAGGCAAAGGAGTTGAGCGTGGTGTTGAGGGCGTGATTACAATGATGGGCGGGTAAGACGTGAGGAGAGGTCACAGAGGGCTGAGGAATGGTGAAAAGCTGGCAGGAACAGTGGAATGGAGATGGCAGTGAGGCCGAAGAATAGTTTATATCGGGCTGCTCATGGGGGTGAGCTGGAAGTGAGGGACGATGGGATGCTTGGAACTGAGATGATGGAAACAAGCCTAGGGCACGACCACCTGGAAGGAGTGTCAAAGGTCAGGTGGGACAGGTCCCTGCAGGAGACGGAGGCTGGGGCACGAGAGGAGGGAGGCCTGGAAGGCTAGGGCACCAGAAGAGTCACCTTGGTGAACCCTGCCATTGCCAGGAGACTGTCATGATTCTCCCTGCAGGGGGATCACGCTTGGAGGAGGCCAGTGTAGCTAGGTACAAAGTAGGTTGGAGGGTAGAGGAGGAGTAGTGGAAGGTGAGGTTCGAGCGGGAGCTGGCAGCCACGTCATGGGGAGCCTGGTAGGCCCTGGTGAGGCCTTCCCTGGGCTTTTATTCTAATTGCAAAAGGAAGCGCATGGAGGGTTTTGGACAGAGGAGTGACATGATCTGACCTGCTCACCCTGGGCAAGTTTCTTCGCCTGCCAGTCTGATCATAGTCTTTCGTGAAAGGGAATAATTATACCTCTTTCAGGACTGTTATGAGGATTTGAGAGAATAAACAGGCATCTAGAAAGTACCTTGCACCACGCTGGGCATGCTCTTGGTTAGAACTGCTCGGTACCTGCCTTGTGCCAAGCCCTGAGGGGAGCACACAGTCTCTGTCCTGGAGCAGAAGGTGATGAGCAAAGTAGCTGACCTGAGCTGCAGTTCCGGCTCTCCATGACTTTCTGAATGACTGCGGGCAGCTCCTTTCTCCTCTCGGGGCTTTAGTGTGCCCCGATGAAAGGTAGGAAGGAGAGGAGACCAAGTGAACCAGACGACTGCCAAGGTTCCGCCCAGTTCAGGCGTCAGCTCTGTGGACCTGTCTAGTGGGTGAGACAGGCAGATGTATAAACCATCACATGAGCGCTGATGAGCAAACTACAGACAAATGAATCAGTTATTTCAGCCGCAGCTGCCTGAGACATCTTGAAGGAAATGGAACTTGGGATGGGCCATGGGTGGAACAGGGAAAAGAAAGCATGTGAGAGAAGCTGGAAATGAGATTGGGCTGGTAAGGTGAGGTTAGGCTACAGGGGAGCCCTGGATATCAGGCGAGGTCTCTGGATTTCGTTTGTACTCGAGAAAGGATAGGCATGAGGAAAACTCTCAGAGAGTTTTGTTTAAAAGAAACGATGGCCGTGGTCAGCCTCACAGGGTGTGTCACTGATATCCCCTGTGTAGCCAGGACTAGGTGATGGCAGGTCAATTAGCCATAAAAACAGAGCAGGTACAGTGAGGCCACATTGCATTTTAAATAAAAATACATTTTCAAAAAGCAAAGAAAGACACTTTCAAAACAGGTGCACATCAGAGATGGGGGAGGAGACAATGTTGAATGCCAACTGTGTGCCAGATACAGTGGCTGGGACCTGCCCGTACATTACTATTAATCCTCATTATAGATCTGCCACGAGTAGGTCTTATTATTCCTCTTTTACAGATAAGGAAATCAAGGCAGTGAGTAAGGTACTCCAGCTTGAGCTGCTAATTAATAGCAGATATTTGCACTGTTCCCTCCAAAGCCCTTCCCTTTCCCCCATTCAAAACACTGTTTATTTTGTGTGTGTCTTTTAATGCCAGACAAGAGCCCGTCGTCCCCACCCAACATGACACCAGGAGGACACCAAACACAAAGCAGGTGGTGAGCCTGGGTCAGCAGTGGGTGCTTTCCCTACACACCCACACACAGTGACCCCCAGTGACCTCTTCCCCAGCCTGCCCTCATCTCCACTGTCAGGGCAGGTGGGAGCCAAGGACCTCCCCAACTTTTTTTTTTTTTTTTTTTTTTTTTTGCGGTATGCGGGCCTCTCACTGTTGTGGCCTCTCCCGTTGCGGAGCACAGGCTCCGGATGCGCAGGCTCAGCGGCCATGGCTCACGGGCCCAGCCGCTCCGCGGCATGCGGGATCCTCCCGGACCGGGGCGCGAACCCGTGTCCCCTGCATCGGCAGGCGGACTCTCAACCACTGTGCCACCAGGGAAGCCCCTCCCCAACTTTTGAGTTCTCTGAAAACTCTCCTGGGACAAGACAATAGGAGAACTTAAAAACAAAACGACCTCAACGATTGAACTTCCCACCGATGAACAGGACTAAAGGGTTTGACTGGAAAGAACTTTTTTTTAGCCCTTTGGATTTCCTTTGGGGGAAAGTTCTTTCCTAGTGGGATGTAAGCCTTGGGACTGGTTATGGAGCCCGGCGGCAAGGCCGGCCTGCTGGGCTCCCAGAGCCTCGTGAACTTTAGGAAAATGGGGAGGACCCAGGCCCCTGGTTCGCGCGCCCTGTAGGGAGACGCCCGGGAGGACGGCCGCGGTCCTGCCCCGCTTTGCGGGAAGTGCACCGTGACAGAAATGGCTCCTGGGAAAGGTAGTTCCCCAGGCCCGGGAAAGTGGCGCTTACATCGGGCATCTCTAGGGTAGGCTGCGGGCAGGGGAAGGGCTCCCTCCCCGAAGGTGCAGAGGTTGCAGGGGCGCCTCCACACTGTTCCCCCCGCCACCCCCCAAATTGAGCAACTTCCCAGGGCTGCGAGGGCGGCGCCACGTACCTTCCTGCTGAGGAACTCCCTGACCAGGGAGGCCGCCACCTCCTCCACGAAGAGGCTGTCCATGCTCCGGTCTGCCCACGAGGCCGCAGCGCCGCAGCCCCAGATCCCGGGTCCGTTGGGGCCAGTATGGCCGCGTTGCCGTGGCGACGGTGTCATCAGAGCCGGAGAACTCCGCCCCTTCCCTGGGAGCGCGCGGGCTGGGAAGGCGGAAGGGAAGGGGCGGAGCAATCTTCAAACTTGCTCTGAGAGCTGGAGGCGGAACGCAGAAGGTACAAGCCCCGTGCATCCTAGGGATGAGGCCGCGGGCTCCGGGCTTGGCTCCTGGCACTGGCCCTGTCCATCTGGGTGGCCTAGAACAAGTCGCTGCTCCAATCTGAGTCGCATCTCACAAGGTGTGACTTGGGGAGAGTGCCTGGCTCCTGGTTCCTAGAGGAGTAAACCCACAGTGAAGTTGCCCCTAGAGATCCACCCCCAGCACCTCAGCGTCTCCTGGGTTCCCCCAAGCTGACTCACCTTGGCTGGCCTCCGCCGCAGGGGTAAGGAGGCCCAGGACTCTCTGCTGACCTGGTGCTCAAATTAAAGGCTGAATCCCTGGCCCCCTTGGTGCCTGCTTTCCCATAAGGAGACTGCCAGCTATTGAGCACCAGGCATTGACACACATTAGCACATCTTTAATCCTACAACCTCCAGGCAAGGTGCTTACTATCGGCCCATTCTTTAAACCAAGACACTGGGATTCAGAGAGGTTAAGATTGTGCTAAAGATCACACAATTAGGAACTGACAAGGCTAGGATTCCAGCCAAACCCATGCCTTTGCCCAGTACCAGCTTCCCCAAACTCAGTCGCTTGGGGACCACCTTCACAATCTCCGCCCCATCCGCACATCACCCAGTGTATCGGTTTGCCAGCGCTGGTGTACAAAGTACCACACACTGGATGGCTTAAACAACAGAAGTGTGTTCTCTCACAGTTCTGGAGGTTAGATGTCCAAGATCAAGGTGTCAGCAGAGTTGGTTCCTTCTGAGATCTCTCTCCTTGGCATATAAATGGCCGCCTTCTCCCTGTGTCTTCGCACGGTCTTCCCTCTGCGTGTCTGTGTCCTAATCTTCTCTTCTTAAAAGGATACCAGTCAACTGGATTAGGTCTACGCTAACTAACTCATTTTAACTTAATTACCTCTTTAATGGCCCAGTCTCCAACTACACGTACATTCTGAGGTACTGGGGGTTAGAACTTCAACATACAGATTTTGAGGGACACAATTCAGTCCATAAAACCTATACTGTTACTTACATTATTATTGACTTTAAGCCAACATACGTGTTTCTAGATTTATTTCAAAAGGAAAGTATGGAAATCCAAGATCAAGTCACCGACAGATTCAGTGTCTGGTGAGGGCCTGCTTCCTGGTTCGTAGATGGCTATCCTCCTACCGCATCTTCACATGGCAGAAAGAAAGAGGGAGCTTGGTGGGGCCTCTTTTGTAATGGAACGAACCCCCTCCAAGAGGGCTCCACCGTCATGACCTAAGCACCTCCAAAGGCCCTATCTCCTGATACCATCATGCTAGCGGTTAAGATTTCAATATATGAATCTAGGGGAAACACAAACATTAGACCATAACGATTACTTAGATATTAGTATTTCAGCAAAAACTTGAAGAAAGACAGGATAAAAGCCATGCAGATACTCAGAGAAAGAGCACTCCAGGTAGAAGAAACAAGTGCAAAGGTCCTGAGACAGCATCGAGCCTGAGTGCTTGTGAAACAGGGAGGCCAGGAGGGAATGAGGCAGCAAGACCCACTATGAAGGCCCGCGTGCCTGGAGCCCGTGCTCTGCAACCAGGGGGGCCACCGCAATGAAAAGCCCCCACACCACGGCGGGGAGTAGCCCCCGCTCGCCACAAGTGGAGAGGGCCCGTGCGCAGCCACAAAGACCCAACACAACCAAAAATAAATAAATAAATTTATAAAAAAAAAAAAGAAGTATGTGTAATTCTCTTCCACATCTGTGACAGTTAATTTCATGTGCCAATTTGGCTAGGCCATGGTAACCAGATATTTGGTTGAACAGCAGTCTGGATGTTGCTCTGAAGGTATTTTTTTAGATAAGATTACCGTTTAAATCAGTTGACTTTGAGTAAAGCATATTACCCTCCATAATGGGTTGGGATCAATCCGTGAAAGGCCTTAAGAGGAAAAGATGGAGGCCCCTCAGGGAAGATGGCATTCTGTCTCCAGACTGCCTTTGTCTCAAGCTGCAACATTAATTCATTCTCTCTCTCTCTCTCCCTCTCTCTCTCTCTCTCTCTCTCTCTCTCTCTCTATATATATATATATATATATATATACATATCCTACTACCTCCACACTCACCCTGAAATGGCCCTGAGAAATTCTTGAGCAAAACTCCTTAGCACTGCCCAGATAAAAAAAGATGCCTTGGGCTTCCCTGGTGCCGCAGTGGTTGAGAGTCTGCCTGCCGATGCAGGGGACGCGGGTTCGTGCCCCGGTCTGGGAAGATCCCACATACCGCGGAGCAGCTGGGCCCGTGAGCCATGGCCGCTGAGCCTGCGCATCCGGAGCCTGTGCTCTGCAACGGGAGAGGCCACAACAGTGACAGGCCCGCGTACCGCAAAAAAAAAAAAAAAAAAAGATGCCTTCTTCTCTGGGGAAAACTGCCGTCTCTGACAGTTATTCCACATCCTGACGCTTTCACCATTAAGTGCAGACCCCAGACCCTCAGACACAGCTGTCAGTCCCAACTTGTGAGTAGTTCCTGATTGAAACAATATGATGTCACCCTGTGGAAATCACAATATAATATCCCCTAAGAAAGCATTGTACATAAAAATTCTGGTCCAAGTAAATCGATGGAAAATTCCCCCAAAACACTGTGGCAAAGCCACTGATTGCCCACAGAATCCATTCTTTCCTTCTTTCGTGAAAATATATCTGGAGCAGGGCAAGTGGCTTCCCAGCCATACTGTATTTCCCAGCTTTTCTTGAAGTTGGATGTGGCCATGGAACTAAGTGGTCACCAATGAGAGGGAATGAGAGGGGCAGCCCTTTAAGACTAGGCTCTACCTTTTCCATACTCTTCCCTCTCCAGCAAGCCACAGCACAGCTGCACCTATGGGTGTGTGCTGTGACCATAAACACAAGACAACACCCTAGGGCAGTGATTCTCAAACTGTGGCCCTCAAAACACCAGCACCACCTGAGAACTTGTTAGAAATGCAAACTCTCAGTCCTTTCATCAGATCTACTGAATCAGAAGCTCTGAGGGTGATGCCCGCAATCTGTATTAAACCAGACCCCCATGTAATTCTGATGCTCACCTACGTTTGCGCATGCTTCCCTAGGGGGTGGCAGAAATAAGACAGAAGGCATCTGGTTCCCTGAATGACTACATGGCACAGAGAGTCACCAGGGGGCCTGGAATTCAGATCCTTACAAGGAAGAGAGGTAAACTTCCATCTGGTTTGGGCTTTGTTTATTTATTTATTTGTTTTTATTTTTGGAAGTGGGGATGGGGGTGTCTTTTGTTACAGCAGCTCATCTTTTCAACCTAAATAATACAAACCTCCAGGAATGAGTAAAAACCCAACTGCAGGCAGTGGTCCCTCTCTCCAGGGTTTGCTAGACCAGAGCTTCCCCATGGGAGCGTTCCACAACAACCCGCTGCAAATTCGGTGTGGGTGTGCTCAGATCATGACCTCCTCGGGCCTCAGGGCAGCCGGCTGAAACCTATCTGGCCAGAGACCACAGGCTGTACAGCCATGAGCAGCCTTCTCCTTTTACCCCAATACACATGATCATTTTTGTGTGTGCCCTGACATGAAAACTGCCCTGGGGAGGCCTCCTGCTCTTCATAATGGTCCATCTTCTGCTTCTTGCTCTCCCTTCCCCTGCTTCTCTGACCTCTTAGTACACAGCAAGGTCTGGGTCTCTTGCTCTGATGGCCTGACTTGGGCACCCTGCTCCAGGTTGGCTATTTGAACATTCTCCTGAGCTGTGCCCTGCTTCTGAGCTGATGGTCACTGGGATTTTCCTTTCCACTCCGGTCTCCCTAAAGACAGGGGGATCCATTCTCAATTTTAAGGCAGTGCTTGGAGATGGTTGGAGGATTTCTTTTCTCCCGGGTTGCTCTGCCTGAGTCCTTTGCTCCAAAGGAGGCTGTTTGGAGCAGGTGGCTATCCGCACCTCCCCAGGTCAACCCAGGCTCAGGGGTGGTTGCTTCATGGACCACTTCGTGTGCTGGCAGGCAACGTGATGGGTCTCAGGGACTAGAGCAAAAGAAGGCAGCCTAGAGCCCTCCGTCCTTTGCTTTTACTCCCATGCCTGATTATATTGGTTAGCATTAGGTTCAGCTGAGAGTGACAGACAAGGAGGACTTAATAAGGAAGTGCTCAAAGAATGATAGGGACATGTCAAAAGAACACACAAGCCAGCTGAAAGGGACTCCTACTGGCCAAATCTGTACATCAGAGTAATGATAAAAATATAGATCATAACCCATTGAATAGAAATAAGAATCCATGAGTCCATATTTACTGTAGGAAAGAAAGAGAGAGAGAGAAAGGAAGGAAGGAAGGAAGGAAGGTCCTTACATTTGTATGTCAACTAATAAATGTAGAAAACCGACAGAATTAACAAATCACACAGGCACCTTATGTATTTGCACAAAGGCACCTTATGTATAGCAGCAGCCATGATTCCTGGGCTGTGTTTCTTCCCATTCGTGGCTAGAGTAAGGCTGCCAGATAGAATACAGGACACCCAGTTGAATCTGAATTTCAGATGAACAAGTAAGACTTATTTCAGATAAGTATGTCCTGTGCAATTTTGGGAACACACTTACCCTAAAAAAAAATGTATTTTGTTTCTCTGAAATTCAATTAACTGAGCATCCTATATTTTTATTTGCCAAATCTTCCAGCCCCAGTCTGGAGGCAGTGGTACACTCAAACTGACGTGTATCATTTCATGAGAGCCAACTGCTAAATTTTTAGGAATTTTCTGAGCCGACTGTTAAACCACTGGGAGCTTGAAATCAACCATGGTGGGAGTATTTACACCATGGAAACTGCCGTCATCACAAATCAGTGCTTTTCTGTTTTTAGAACTGGT